ATACCCTTACCCTCGCCACAACTCGGGCCGAGTGCACCCCTCCTCCCAGCCAGCGCCACCCCCACTCGAGTTGTGGCGAGGGTGAGGGTATTCACCGCATCAAAACTACAGGTCGCCTGGGCCCTTATCTTGAGACCAATAGTACCATATGTTTTACTGCCTTGTACTGTCAAACCGAACTAGGTCAATTATTTTTTCCCTCTTCAAAAAATAAAAAGGAGCCGGAGTCGCCCCCTTTTTTGGCGGCTCCGGCTCCGGCTCCGGCTCCGGGCTATATTGTTTCACGGCTCCGGCTCCGGCTCCGGCTCAGGGCAAAATATGCCGGCTCCGGCGGCTCCGGCTCCGACTCCGGCTCCGGCTCCGCATCCCTGCTTCGAGGCCATCTGAGGCAGGGCTGCGGAGTCGGAGTCGGAGTCGGAGTCGGAGTCGGTCGGAGTCGACAGTTGTGACCGGAGTCGGAGTCGGAGTCGGAGTCGATTTTAGAAACCCGAGCCGGAGTCGGAGTCGGAGTCACCAAAAATCTGTCGACTCCGCAGCCCTGCTAGGTCTGCGGAGTCGGAGTCGGGAGTTGCAGTCGGTCGGAGTCAACAATTCTGCCCGGAGTCGGAGTCGGAGTCGGAGCTGGTTTTTGAAAGCCGGAGTCGGAGTCGGAGTCAGAGTCGCCGAAAATCCATCGACTCCGCAGCCCTGATCTGAGGGCCCTTTGACACCATCTAAGGGCCCTTTGACACCAGATGAGGGCCCTATGACGCTAACTGAGGGCCGTTTGAGGTCATCTGAGGGCCCTTCGAGACCATCTGAGGGCCTTTTGAGACCATCTGAGGGCTCTTTAAGGCCATTTGAGGGCCCTTTGTACACGGGCTTCGGTGGTCTAAGGATTAGTTTGAGGCCCATTTGAGGCGGCCTTCGGCCGCCTCAAATCGAATTCAGCTCCAAAAACTGGCCTAGAAACATGTAAAACTCGAAAAAGTGAACCGAGGTCATCAAAGGTCAATGACCTGACTTGACCTTCAGGTGACCTTGACACCCACCCTAATGCATGAAGGCAACATCATATCACATGTTTGAATGCTTGAAACCACGAAAAGACTGCAAACGCGCGGCTAATGCGAGCCGACATACGCCGATTCGCGATACCGGCCAAACATGGTCTCGAAAAGTAGGTCACAGGTCAAAGGTCATTAGGGTCAGGGTCATGAAATTTTCAGGGTAGGTGTAAAATTAATTAACGCGAGGGTACTGAAAATTTCATCGCGATCGGCCGCTTTTTACGCGAGTTATTCGCGAAAAACCATGGGGGGGGGTCCGTTCGACCCCCCCCCCCTATACGGGCGAGGGTTAAGCAACCAACAAACGGTAAACAACACTAAGCTAATTTATTTATATTTATTTTATTTTATATTTTTAAAAATTCCAAAGAAACATTTTCACTGTTGAACAAAAATCTTGATCTTTTTTCATTTGCCTATAATGACTTTTGGGACCAAAATTTTTCACATTTTTATTTTTTGAAAATAAAATTCATGTCATTGCAAATCGACGTGCAAAAAATTAGAAAGGTGTTCTTTCTATAAGTTCCTCATTTTCCCGCAAACAAAATGGGTTTCGGAGGGGTTAATACGACCCCAGCACGCCGTTTCGCTTCTAATAGAGCTAGAGCCTTGCGGGAAAAATGAGCGTGTGTGCCGTTACAAGTCGCAGCGATTGGTACCCGATTTTAAGGTCTCAGGTTAACCGGTAGCGTGTGAGGACAGGTCAAGTGACTGAAGTTACGGATTCGGTTTTTAATAAATAACTTCGCAAAAAATGGCCGCAGAGCCGCGATTTTGGCATCATTCAGTTTGCCTAGCTCAGGTGCGTCGAATGGTGTACTTTTGGTTAGGGTGAGGTCAACTTAAGGAGTTGACCTCGGGTCAAGGTCAGGTCAGAGCCCCTCAGGTCACGAAGCTGGGCAAAGGGTATCATATGGCACATCATTCGATTCGGCAGCACAACATCCCTAGAAAGTTTTAGCAGTTACAATGTTCCCGACATTTGGGTCGCCAGCCTAGCCCCGGAATGCCCATCCAATGAACTAGGACCTTCCAAGCGTCACCATACAATCGGGTACTATTTAGTCAGAGAGGGGACGCTAGTAATTTCCAGGAACCTCTAGCTCTATCAAGATCTGAACGGTGGGGGGGGGGGGGAGGGTTCATTGACTCTTCCTCTTTACGTTAACGGCCGGTAAAACACCTTAACTGGCGATAATTTAGCCATTTTTTTATAGTAAAGGACGGTAACTAGAGCATTGAAAAAAACTATGGTAAATATGCCGTTAACATCAATAGCGGCGGAACACCTTCAATTAAGGAGGGGGGGGGGGGGGTGCACTGCCGACTTTTGGTCCCATTCTTTCCATGCAACGCCCATAGGTCTAATGTTAAAATTCCCAAATCAAGGGGGAGGGGGTGGGCATGGTGCCCTTCCCGTTCCGCCGCCTATAGTTAACATGCAGGGGAGAGAGGTTATATTGCGCCATGTTCTTTAATGCGCCACACCTTCCTCCTGCCCAAAATTCGATTCGAACGAATACTCGAATGTGTGCATTTACTTCACCACAAATAACTCGCTCTTATGCCGGTCCATAGGGGCAGGTGAGGTGTCTCATTTTTCTCGCAGACCTTTTTTGTGATTTCCTCTATTTTCTTACGCGAAACAGTCTATTTCGACCTTTGCTAGTGTCATGGTTTATCTTTGAGATAGTAATTCAACTAATAATCATTGTTAATTGCTCGTTTAATGGTAGTTTTAAAAGTTTATCACCACAAATATGTCGTCGCCATATTTGAAGCTCATGAAAAATGTGTTCCATTCGTAATTGCGCCCACCCTATTTGCGCCCTATTCTTCAACCCAGAGAAACAGCATCTGGTGGTTGGGACACATTTCATTGAACACTTTGATTATTAGAGCGCTCACCTTACCATTACCTTAGCCTTCACAGCATAAATGGTTAATGGGCTGACACGTTCAAATAGGCTACTTAGTTAGGTGGCAAACCGTTGTTTTTAATAGGGCGCTTTTACATGAGAGGCATGGGCGCTTTTTGATGGGGGAGTCCGTAAATGCGCCCTTTGCAGATGTGCCGGAAAGCTTTTATCTTGTTAATTTGTCTGGGTGTGATACAAATTGGGAGTTGTTATTTGATGCCAAAATAACTGAGGTACAATTTGAGATACCTATCATCAAACATGACAGCTGGTCAACTTTAGCCGCAATAGGCCGATATCCTTAAGGTGGCGCAATATGACTTATCTCCCCCACATTTGTTATTAGAGCTGAACCCCTGCCGCAGTATTGCGTCGGGTGTGGACAACTACCGCCATCTGTTGACGGCGATACAAGTTCGGTTACTGCGGGACAGCCTAACTTCAGGCGCTCGTCACTCGCGCCATCTATGGAGAAGTCTACGAAACAGAAGTACGCCTTACCTCAGTTATGCGTTAGAGCTGAATCTCTCTTTGGTCTTATACCAATTTCCTTACCGTTTTTGTATCATCGTCAACCAACTGTTTGCTCTAGCCAATTGCTCTTCGAGTTTTTCGAATGGATGCAAATGCGATTTGAGTTTGCTTGTTTGTATTTGTTGTTGAGTGCTGATGTGTCACGAACTAAGGCCGCCACCACTAGGTCAGCTGGATTAGCTGGGCGAACACGGCGAACAGGGCGTGGCGCAGTTTTGAGGGACGACGGTGAAAACAGGGCGCCTGGGGCGATTTGATCAAGGTTCGTGAAATTTACACGTGACGTTTGGCATATAGAAGGCCCATGGAGCGGGAGAAGTTCTAAATGTCACGTGACTAATATGCCCTCCGGCGCCCTGTTTTCACCGGCGTCCGTTTTGGGACGGCGGTGAAAACAGGGCGCCTGGGGCGATTTGATCAAGGTTCGTGAAATTTACACGTGACGTTTGGCATATAGAAGGCCCATGGAGCGGGAGAAGTTCTAAATGTCACGTGACTAATATGCCCTCCGGCGCCCTGTTTTCACCGGCGTCCGTTTTGAGACCGAGCTGGGTCCTTTTTTGTCGACATTTTTGTGGCCAAATTGACGGGCAAGATTTGGTGAGTGACTGTATTGCACTGATGTCATGTTTAGTTACCCTCGTATGTCATGAAATGTCACTATCAGACTATCAGTCATGTAGAAACTTACTTTCTATGTGTTTTGTGAAGGTCAGGCATTGGATCTGATGGATGCTTTTCCCCACCCAAACATGTCCGTGCATATATCAGATTTGGTAATTGCATGTTACTTTCACAGTAACCGATTGGCTGAGGATGTCAAGATAACTGGTCGATGAGCCACTGAACGATGACTTAGCTGAATACAAAGGAAGATTTTAGGCATGAATTTTGCTGATTCAATCACGGGCAAATCACAGTTAAATGGCCACAACATTTGTTTTTGTTTCGTTGGGTTAGCCCCTTTCGGTCTGACAAGGCCGTTTCAGAGCCGGAAGGATGATAGGAATAAGGGGGAGACATTGGTCTGGGCAGGCACCCTAGAGAGTCGCAGGGACTGAGCCTATCCCGAAGGTCAGGCCGACCAGCCCCCCCCCCCCCCCCAAGTACTCGCTACACCCGGCCACAGGTGCGCTCCCTCGGGGGAAGCAGTGCCGCTCCAAGGGAGCAAGCAGCCCGAATGAGATAAAGGTGCCTGGAAGCATGCTTTAACATGATTTCAGATTGAATTTAAATGAGGGCAGGCGGCCAACCACACATATAGTGATTCATATGAACGATAAATACCACGCAAATAGTGAATAATCGTGAGCTCCCTACATTCTTTTAGTGGTTTTCTGATGGAGAGTCAGACGCCAATGACGTCAGACAGCCTGACAAATGACCAAACATCTGACTGGAATCAAAGGTCAGGTAGGCCAAATTTCAGCTATCCAGCTCAAACGCATTCCGAGCAATCGGAAAACGGTTTCAAGAGGTGGCACAAACCCCGTACCATGGACAGCGAGGGCGAAGGAGGCTGTCCAGAGTCGGAGTCGGAGTCACGGAAAATCCACCGACTCCGCGGCGCTGGGCGGAGTGCCGTGACACCGGTCTACACTGGAGGACGCCTGCAGCGTCGCTGGACCGAGCTGTCAGCCGGTGCCCACCATGTGCTTGATGGTGCTGCCATCTAGCTGCGGAATGAACAGGTCAGCTGTGACCAGAGGGCGCCTCGGTCGGGTTACAGCGCTGATATAGCGATCAGACAGGCAGGACAGAGTAGAGGGAACATCTGACATCAGGAATGCGATTGATCAATGACTGTAAAACAGTACACCCAGGTGAATATATACGGCCGAGCATGACAAATGGCTCCAGATCAGAATAGGTCTCGATACAACATTACGGAAGAAAATGGCACTTGTGACTTCCACAGCGATAATCAAACCTCCGCTTCTATCCCAAACTTCTTACCTTTGCTAGTTTGGCCTTGTGGTGGCGGGATCACCGTCTGGCAGGGCAGCGGCTGAAGGCCCCTCTCCGGCTCTACCCGGCGCCACACCAGCACTCCACCACTGTGACGGAAGGCAGCACGGTTGGAGCGGTAGCACGCGGTTGGAAAGGCAACACAGAGGGCTGAACGGACGGGCGCCTTGCTGAGGTCGTCCAGACGGTAGCGCGTGCTGTAGTAGCGTCACTGAGACTAGTATCAGGTAGTCCAATCAGGTAGGTAGATTCAGGGCAGACATGTCCATGGATCCGAGTGATGGATCTATGATCTCAGTGGATCTCGAAGCAAAGTACAGGTTGGGATCTATGATCCCTACGGATCCGGCGTGAAAAATATGTACATCTTGGATCTATGATCTCATATGATCTGACGATAAATTTAGAGCATGGATCTATGATCTGAGTGGATCCCATCATGCACTACATTTGAAACCATGTTTTAAAGGGTTTCTATGTCAATAAGTGACACAAAACTATGGATTATGACGTGCGATTACATAAAATCACTAAAACAGAACGCTTGTAAGTTGAAACAAGTGCTTTTTGGGATATGTGTTGACAAAAAATAATTGAGGATCCATGATCTCACTGCCCACTGGATCTCAAGCAAAAAATGAGACTCGGATCTGTGACCCCTACGAATCTCTCGATAAATTACATAGCTGGATCTATGATCCCGTCGAGTCCGAGGTCAAGTTCCGTGGGATCAGATCCCAGATCCATTTTCTCGTATCCATGCACATGTCTGATTCAGGGTATATTGAATTAAGGGGTAAGACCAAGTTAAGTAGGCATGATCTCCGCAATTCTCTTGTTTTGTAAGTCGGTTTTCATAATCACAATATGATTTTTGATATCATGAAGTTTGTAGGGGATAGTGGGGCAAAGCGGCCACCCATCGTTTTAGCCCTCCACAGCTTTAACGATGGGTGGCTTTAGCGTTTTAGCTTTAGCGTTTTAGGAGCTGGCTTCCGGTGGGCCGGTGCAAGATTCTTAGAGATAAGGTTGGGACACTAGTCACGTGATCCTTTTTCCTGCTTTTCCCAACCCTCCTCTCGATTTTCATAAGCCTTGATTTATTGTTGAAACACTTTGCAGAGAGGCGTTTGTAGTTAATTTATTTACAAAAACTAATTCAATAATATTTGAAATTAACCAGCACATTTTTATTCGCAATCTCAAACAAAAGTTGAATTCATTCGCGTTTCATTAAATTTATCAGCTGGCAACCATCACCCATCGTCCTCGATGTAGTCGAACTTGGCGCACTCGGATAGTGCTCGAAATTTGTGACGCTTACTTGTTGCTATGGCGACCGGGTAGTACCTACGCTTTTCATTCGTCAACAAGTGCTTGCGGTCACACTTTTGAATACAGTCTTTATGCGTCAGTTTGTGTGACGCGTCATATCTGAAACATATTTCGTGAGGCTCCAAAACCATTAAATTCATCTCCTTCAAAAAAACTGTTTTGTAACATTTTTGATATCTTTTTTGGGCTTAATTGCTAGCTCCATTCAAGAGAGTTAAGCGTCGTGAGGAATATCATCATGAAGATTATGAGCATATTTGATTGACCGAATCCTCAATATAATCTGAATGAAAATGACAAATTAGCAAAATTCGGGTATATTCGATCACAGATCTTTGTCAACCGATACCAGCAGGCGCCACAATTGTAGATGTCAAAATACTTTTTGTTCAGTACACATGCACAACAGTAGATATATCCTCATGAAAAAGATTTATGGTTGGTAATTAATATACCCGAATTTTGCTAATTTGTCATTTTTATTCAGATTATATTGAGGATTCGGTCAATCAAATATGCTCATAATCTTCATGATGATATTCCTCACGACGCTTAACTCTCTTAAATGTGCAAACGTTACTAATGACCATAAACAAGCGTTAATAGAAACCATCAAAAACTCTGAAAAACTAGCAACCATGCAGGAGCGCCTCAATTTTTTGACAACTTGTCGCAAGAATCACATCATGCCAAGTTTCATTACAAACAGCCTTAAGCCAGTCACGAAGATTTTTTCGAGCTAGTGCAGTACTGCAAAAAAAGACAAGACAACTTCAGTAAGCAGTTGCTGAATGAAGCCATCCGTGAGACCCATCGTACACTAGCGTATTTGCATCGAGAATGTAACAGACTAGCTGCAAAACGTCCTCAGTATCTTCACCCACTGAACAGCTGGACAGTTGAACAGGCGACAAGAATCCACGGAGAGACAGCAGCCGCCTGCAGAAGAAGGTTAGCCAACAAGTACGAACGGCTTGTGCGAAGACAAGATGCAGCTCGTCAGACTCCCGATGACGAGGTACAAGAAGACACACAAGACAATGGCCGACTACTTAACGCAGCAGCAGCAGCAGCAGCAGCAGCAGCAGCAGCAGCAGCAGCAGCAGCAGCAGCAGCAGCAGCAGCAGCAGCAGCAGCAGCAGCAGCAGCAGCAGCAGCAGCAGCAGCAGCAGCAGCAGCAGCAGCAGCAGCAGCAGCAGCAGCAGCAGCAGCAGCAGCAGCAGCAGCAGCAGCAGCAGCAGCAGCAGCAGCAGCAGCAGCAGCAGCAGCAGCAGCAGCAGCAGCAGCAGCAGCAGCAGCAGCAGCAGCAGCAGCAGCAGCAGCAGCAGCAGCAGCAGCAGCAGCAGCAGCAGCAGCAGCAGCAGCAGCAGCAGCAGCAGCAGCAGCAGCAGCAGCAGCAGCAGCAGCAGCAGCAGCAGCAGCAGCAGCAGCAGCAGCAGCAGCAGCAGCAGCAGCAGCAGCAGCAGCAGCAGCAGCAGCAGCAGCAGCAGCAGCAGCAGCAGCAGCAGCAGCAGCAGCAGCAGCAGCAGCAGCAGCAGCAGCAGCAGCAGCAGCAGCAGCAGCAGCAGCAGCAGCAGCAGCAGCAGCAGCAGCAGCAGCAGCAGCAGCAGCAGCAGCAGCAGCAGCAGCAGCAGCAGCAGCAGCAGCAGCAGCAGCAGCAGCAGCAGCAGCAGCAGCAGCAGCAGCAGCAGCAGCAGCAGCAGCAGCAGCAGCAGCAGCAGCAGCAGCAGCAGCAGCAGCAGCAGCAGCAGCAGCAGCAGCAGCAGCAGCAGCAGCAGCAGCAGCAGCAGCAGCAGCAGCAGCAGCAGCAGCAGCAGCAGCAGCAGCAGCAGCAGCAGCAGCAGCAGCAGCAGCAGCAGCAGCAGCAGCAGCAGCAGCAGCAGCAGCAGCAGCAGCAGCAGCAGCAGCAGCAGCAGCAGCAGCAGCAGCAGCAGCAGCAGCAGCAGCAGCAGCAGCAGCAGCAGCAGCAGCAGCAGCAGCAGCAGCAGCAGCAGCAGCAGCAGCAGCAGCAGCAGCAGCAGCAGCAGCAGCAGCAGCAGCAGCAGCAGCAGCAGCAGCAGCAGCAGCAGCAGCAGCAGCAGCAGCAGCAGCAGCAGCAGCAGCAGCAGCAGCAGCAGCAGCAGCAGCAGCAGCAGCAGCAGCAGCAGCAGCAGCAGCAGCAGCAGCAGCAGCAGCAGCAGCAGCAGCAGCAGCAGCAGCAGCAGCAGCAGCAGCAGCAGCAGCAGCAGCAGCAGCAGCAGCAGCAGCAGCAGCAGCAGCAGCAGCAGCAGCAGCAGCAGCAGCAGCAGCAGCAGCAGCAGCAGCAGCAGCAGCAGCAGCAGCAGCAGCAGCAGCAGCAGCAGCAGCAGCAGCAGCAGCAGCAGCAGCAGCAGCAGCAGCAGCAGCAGCAGCAGCAGCAGCAGCAGCAGCAGCAGCAGCAGCAGCAGCAGCAGCAGCAGCAGCAGCAGCAGCAGCAGCAGCAGCAGCAGCAGCAGCAGCAGCAGCAGCAGCAGCAGCAGCAGCAGCAGCAGCAGCAGCAGCAGCAGCAGCAGCAGCAGCAGCAGCAGCAGCAGCAGCAGCAGCAGCAGCAGCAGCAGCAGCAGCAGCAGCAGCAGCAGCAGCAGCAGCAGCAGCAGCAGCAGCAGCAGCAGCAGCAGCAGCAGCAGCAGCAGCAGCAGCAGCAGCAGCAGCAGCAGCAGCAGCAGCAGCAGCAGCAGCAGCAGCAGCAGCAGCAGCAGCAGCAGCAGCAGCAGCAGCAGCAGCAGCAGCAGCAGCAGCAGCAGCAGCAGCAGCAGCAGCAGCAGCAGCAGCAGCAGCAGCAGCAGCAGCAGCAGCAGCAGCAGCAGCAGCAGCAGCAGCAGCAGCAGCAGCAGCAGCAGCAGCAGCAGCAGCAGCAGCAGCAGCAGCAGCAGCAGCAGCAGCAGCAGCAGCAGCAGCAGCAGCAGCAGCAGCAGCAGCAGCAGCAGCAGCAGCAGCAGCAGCAGCAGCAGCAGCAGCAGCAGCAGCAGCAGCAGCAGCAGCAGCAGCAGCAGCAGCAGCAGCAGCAGCAGCTTGCACCCCAACCACACAGCCAACAGGTACAGCAAGGGGGATCTCAGGGCGAGCCTACAGGATCGTCCAACGGGCGGAAGGACGCTGAGGATGAAGCTAGAAACGGCAATCTTGCCAAGCCGCATTTTCCCAACCAACCGACCAGGCAGGCGGGCCCCTTGAGTAGGGAGGCCGAACGATCGCTCTTGGGTGTGAAACGTAAAATAATGGCGATATATCGCAACCATCGTCCTGGTGACCTCAACTACACAGCTAAAGCCAAGGCCGAGCTGAACGCGCTTAAGCAGGACGATTGTGTAATTGTTAAGCCTTCAGACAAATGTAAGGGCCTAGCCATCATGGATAAGACAGATTATTTGGACAAAGCGCAGGTGATCACAAACACTTATGAAAAGATTGATCGCAACCCTACTGCTAAAACAGAGGCTAGCACCAAAAAGGTCATAGCACAAACACTTAAAGATAAGGTAGGTCAAGACATTGTGGACATCCTACGCCCCCACCATTCTCGCTGCGCAGAACTATACGGCCTGCCTAAAACTCACAAGACAGGCATTCCTCTGAGACCTATTGTGTCTGCCATAGATGATCCTCTGGATAGGCTATCATGGCTATTAGAGCAGGTCATTTCCCAGCTACTTCAGTACGTGCCTGCCCACCTTAAGAGCACTGATGATTTTTTATCTAGGTTGAAGGAGACCTACCCTGCCGGCCTCCCGGAAGG